CCCGTGGGGGAGGCGGCGCCACGCAGATTCCAAGGTAGGCGGGAAAGCCGCGTGCAGAAGCGCCGCCGCCGGCGCCCGTGGTTGAACCCCTTGAACCCTGGACCCTGACCCACACGTGGCCCGTGGATAAGCCTCCCCTTCTGACCTGCCCCCCCACACACACACTCGGTCGTCAACAGGTAGTCGCTGCACCTGCCGAGTCACCGGATGATGCTCGGACCTGGATTCTGGAGCCACGCCGCCTGAGGCTCCTGAGGGTCACCACACCTGCTCATTGAAAGCGACGTGCCTGCTGTGCAAGCGAGAACGCATGCTGCGTTCAAGGTGCTTTATGTCTGCAGGCGACCAGTGGCTCAGAGGCCACTTCCTACATAAAGCCCTCTATGAAAATGCCCGTGAGAAACGTTTCGTTCGTAACAATAATGTCTTCCGGTTTCTAAATGTCTTCCCTCACGTTTGGAAAGCAAATCGTCAAAACCGCTTCAGAAAAAAAAAATATTGTTTTACCTTGTTGGGGTGCAATATGTTTAAATCCTGTTTGCCACATGGGTCACGCCAGCTAAATAGGAGGGCAGGCCCCAGTGCCAGCTGAAAACCCACACCTGGTTGAGCCAGATCACTACTTAAGAGGTTCTTGGACAATAAACAGTTTCTGGTCTTTTGTACTGTCTGCCGGGGAGCAGAGATAGGGAGTTTGCACATCGTCTCGGCCGAGACACCCTGCAGGCTCAGGCAGCATGAAATATAGTGTGTGGCATTTACACATCAGGGTCTGTGGTTGAGGGCTAGAGAAAAAACGGAAACATCTTGAGATTACAGTATTTCTCAAAGTTCATTTATTGGGGGGTGGGAGGGTTCCCCTGAATTTATCATGATAAGGCAGGAGACTTCAAGGAAAAGTAATGCTTACGTGGCTATACCCACACTCCCTGACTGCAGGAAACAGTAGGAAATGTTTGAGAAGTGTGGAAAGACATTTGCCACTCATTAGCTTGTCACTTGCCCCAGCGTCAGTGCTGGCTTCTCCTCTGTCACCTCAGGCTTACAAGCCAGACACAGCCTGGTGGTGCTGAAGCCAGACTGGCGTGAACGTAACCCAATCTTCTCTACTTCTATGAGAGCGTAGATCTTATAAAGAAACGTGTCGTCATCGTACATTATAACTGGAAGTTGCTCTTGAACCCTTATGTTGAAGCAAAGCATAGCATTTCTAATAATGTGACTGGCTTTCATTTCTTGAGCATGACCCAGACAAAAGTGAGAGGGGCTGGAATGGAGGGGTTCCATCTTCACCTGAAACTATGGGTGGGGCAGAATCAGGCTGCCATGCACTTTCTCTCTGTTCCTCTCTAAACCCTGTTTACCATGATACACTTTGTTCCCAAGGGTTCAAAGCAGTTTTGACTTTAAGGACTATCGTAACCTAGGTCTTGGTCATGTTCTCTGCTCCACCTTGCATAAGTACAGGAAAATATGTAGGTCTAGCTGTCATGTATATCATTGTCACAGTAACATTGGAACTTTGCAATGGTAAAAAAATATAAAAAAAGCTGCCCACCTGTCAACCGATAGGAAACTGGTTAGATAGATGGTACATCTATACAACGGGACGCTGTGTAATTGAGTCTTTCCTTTTCCGACCACCTGAAGCCTGTGCCGTGTCTCCCCTTACTCTGCCCTCAGCCTCAAGTCCCATACGCACAGGTTGAGAAGCACTGACATAAATCAAGGTATTGGCCTCATGGAGATGCGTGCACATCACGGCCTTGACCCTGAAGTGTAGGCATGTCACAGATTTCATTAGGAAACACCAGCAAATGCAGGAAGCTACTCATTCTCACAGATCGGTTCATTCAGGTGTGTGAGGCCAGGTAAGCAGAGGGGACTGCTCTTTGCTCACCTGCTGAGCTGGCATATACGGGGATTTCTGTAATTCACAGACCATGCAATCCACCCATTTAAAGTGTACCGTTCAGTGGCTTTTGGTATATTTACAGCGTTGTGCGACCATTGCCACAGTCAATTTTAGAACACTTTCATCAACCCAAAAAGGAACTCCCTCTGCTTTAGCTACCATCCCCCTACACTACCCTCCCCCCC